CATGCAAATTCATTACTCCAAGAAGATGACTCACAGGAGCGTTCTCACCCCCTTGTGTCGGCACCAGCACACCGTCTGAAACAGCGCAGTCACGGAGGGAAAAGAGAGGGCCCACGACCACTCGCGCCAACGTTTTCTGGCTGCCCAACCCCATCCCTCCCAAATGGGCGCTTCTCCCCAGAGAATGTTACTCTTATGCCCAGAAGGAAGCGGAGATGGCTCTCCCCCCTCCACAGATTTTCAACATTATTACAGAATGCTAAAGCTAAAAAAAAAGAAAAGATAATAAACTGGCAAAGAAAGAGAGACACTGCATCTTTTTATTTAAAAAAAGGGCTCTAGGAACGGCTCTTGGTGCTAAAAACGAGTCTTGTAAACTGCCGCCAGCAGTCATGCAAATTGAAGGAGGGGGAAAAGGCAATGAAAATTATGGGTTATTTCTTGGCCTTTCCTGCACAGAATAAGTTCAGACATAATATATAAATAGAGCAGTGAAACATTTACTTTTTCACCTAGATCTACGACATCAAATACGTATAAATAAATTCTAGTGTTTTGTTTTGGGGGGGGGCAGAGAGCCATGGGGGTAAGAGAGGGGCACACCTTCCCCCCCTCAATAGTAAGTACTGATTAAATTTACATCAAGAGTTTCTGCAAATCTTGCAACTAGTGACAGACCCAGTTCCCCCCTCCCTCACCCCAACTGCAAAGGATCTGTCGAGAAGTCATATACAAAAAGCAGGAAACGTTTGTGTCTTTTCAAATGCGTCGAGAGTGTGCAAAGGAACACGCCAATAGTAGCAGGATTTAATCTCATTAAAGGTTTGGATGGAACCAGCTGAGCAAGAAAAGGGGGCAAAAAAGAAAAAAAAGGAGGGTGTCTGATGAAGCAGATTCACACCAAAAAAAAAATCAATTCCTGACAATATTTCATAGGGGAGGCACAAAGCAAGGGGGGAGGGGGGGCAGATCATACTGGGTCGCTAACGCCACATCTTTTGAAACGCTTGGGGGAAGCAGGGGTGGAAGGAAATAACGGGACCCTTGGAAAGAACAGTGAAATACATCTTAGACCTCAATATTTCTAAACCTCAAACCACTATTAAGATGCTAGAGGCAGGGAAGAACGCTCTTGCCATAAAAGCCAAAACCCCCGAGAAATAACCCCCCGCCCCCCAAAAAGGGTAATTCATTTAATTTTAATTTTCTTTTTTAAAGTACCATCTATCTGAAACTCCTTGGTCGTTTCCTATAAAGGGACACACACGTGAAGAGACAGCATCGCTCTGACTAAGCTAAACAAGCTTAGTAGTCTGAACCTACGGCTATTGCATAAACATTACGATTTATACCCAGCTCAAGAAAATTCAAACGCATCTTTTAAGAAACCCAGGAGGACGTGCTCTTCAGAACCAGACCTTTCAGATCCTCCCATTCGCATATACATTCTTTGTTCAAAATGTCATCTTTGGAACTACCAGCGACACGACTGGCTTGATACCTTCTCAAACGCTGCTGAGACAGTTCACAGCTAGCAAGCTACTGGTGATGAGAGAAAGCGAGTCCCCCCCCCCCTTTTATGTCTTCACAAAGTTTAAGAGTTAAAAACCAAAGGGGCAACTTAAGTGCCTCTGAGACTTCTGGTATCTTTTGAACCCAAGCCCATGTATGGAAACTGAATCCTCCGTAATCCTGCCTTCGGGATGCCTGACAGTCAAATGCCACGTTGCCTGGGAGCTATGACTGGTAGCTCAGAAAGGCAACTGAGAGCGGGGAAGGGGAGTGAATCGGGGAAAAAAAGAGGATAAAATTAACTGTCCTGCCCACAGTGAGTTCTCTTTTCCCTTCGAGTCTTTTGTCTGCTATGGCTTGCTAAGGCAGAAGTGTTTCTACTGATTTGCTTTGGTACAAGCAGAAAAGAAAAGCCGAGAAGGTGGGGTGAAGGAGGGGGAGAGAAAGTAAAAAGAACCAAAACATTTCGGTTAAGGTGGGAGAAGGAGCCTGAAGTAATGGCAAGCACAGAGACCAAAAGCATGTGTGCGTTGGGGGGAGGGGGGGGAGGCAAGTTCTCGACCACCATAAGTAGTCCAGGAAAACCTCACTGCCTCTAGCCAGCGCCTGATTCATGCAAGGCAAGGGGCTTCCTTCGCGATTCTACACTGGCTAAGATTTCCAGAGAGACAAATCCCCCCCCTCCCAAACGAAGTTTCCGGGAAGTTACGAAAAACCAACCTAAACCCTGTATTGATGACTCCATGGGGGAGAACCTTGCATGAGGAAAGCTGGTGGTTTCT